ATCGACAGAGTTTTTGGAATTGACCGAGTTTTGTAATCGACAGAGTTTTTTGCTGAATTGACCGAGTTTTGGTGATTGACCGAGTTTTTTGTAATTGACAGAGTTTTTGTAATTGACCGAGTTTTGGTGATTGACTATTTTTATAAGCATTGATTGACAAAAAAAAAAACAACATATGGAACGTGCTTGTGTAATGCAATGCACTGATAAGTGTACACATTCAAGCGAAGTAACGCAATTGACAAACAAATATTCAACTACATCGAAATGACAATTTTGAACCATTCCGCGCGCCATACAGAACCTCTTTGACTTGTTAATCTGTGCTAAATCCTTTTGTATTTATTATATCGCTTTGAACAAGCCTGGAATAAAGACTGACTTTCTTCTACAGTCGGGGGATTGATGTGTTAATACGCACATACACTATTACAGTGACGTAGTTTTAGTTTCACGGTTCAATGTTGATCGATTGGATGTTAATTACGACATATATATAACTAGTCGCACTCCTCGTTTTATAGGGTCAGTCACGTGTAAAATCATTTTAAGAACGCACGAGACGTGCAAGAAGTCATTCACCGGTATGAAAAATAAGGATGCAGCATTTGCAGCATATCGGAATGCATGCAGCTCACTTTGCAGGACAAAACGATTTGTTTTCTATTCTCAATATTGAAATTTTCTTCATTTGTTTTGTCCTCAAAATTGAGCTCCTTTGACGCCACATTCAAGCGCTCTATTACAAAATGACTTTCAATTGAAAATGCTATTTCATTATTATTTTTGATGTTGTGCAACAAATTCTATCAAGGAACAACACGTTTGCATGATGGCGTCATTTTACTCCCACTCAGTACCAAGATGCTTCGCGAATTTTCTTTCTTGTTTAAATTTGTGCTATTAGCTGAACAAAAGAAAGTGTGCAAGGGAGTTTGGTAGAAGAGGTCAATCAATGACGCCATCGTGCAAACGTGCTGTTAAAAATTTGCAAATTTTAGATACTTGTCTTGCATAGTATACATTTGAAACCGCGCGTGCCAATAAGATTCATTTTAAAATTGTGAAGTCTGGCTAGACTGATGATGACAAATTGTCGGACAGTTGAATATTACGTTTAACCTTTGACTCTTTAGGAACGTTACAATATTTTCATCATGTCGCCAAATGTGTTTGGAAAATTTAAAGAGAACTTGCATGAATTGCGAGGGCTTGACCTCAGCACTGTAGAAACGTGAGGATTCGTGCATGTGTGTATGCAAATTTCTTGCACTACAAACACTCTTTTGAAACGTTTATGATGAGAAAGTCAAGTTCTTATTCGTCGTCTTATAAACAATTGACCCCAATAGAAGCAGCGGACTGTCAGGCGACTCTAGTTATATATCACTGCTACTGCTACTGCTACTGCTACTGCTACTGCTACTGCTACTGCTACTGCTACTGCTACTGCTACTGCTACTGCTACTGCTGCTGCTGCTGCTGCTACTGCTGCTGCTGCTACTGCTACTGCT